AAAATTATATTTTACCAATATGAAATCAATAATATTAATAGGTTATGTTGTTCTTAAACGTCCAAACTAATTTTTAAGCAGGATATCATCTGCGAAAGTTAACGGAAACTCCGCGCCGCGCTATCTACATTAAAACGGCGGAAACTTATTTGTACACCTAATATTATAAATCAAATGAAAGCAAAAACAAAAAACAAACAAAAAAAAAGAGAAAGTATAGAATAGATGCGACAATAATTCATTCATAGTTCAATCGGAAACTTACACGGCTGAGAAAATTGCATTTCATTTGAAACGAGGTCTCGTTTTGTGTGTATGCGTTCTTTTGTAAAAAGAAGAAAGGAAAGGAAAGAAAAGTAAAAAAAAGCACAAAAAAGACAACGAGACAATGAGAATAAGAGCTTTGGGTTCAAGCGTGTTGTGTTAAGGTTGGTAGGAAGAAGATATAAGCGAAAATACCACAGACATTGTCATACACCGCTAACAATGTGACAAGCTGATACAAACAAATCTTCGTTTCTTGTATCATCCAACCTCGTGAGGGGTATTTCCTCCCTTCTCCCCCTCTACCCCTATCACCCTTCTATTTGTACTCTTTGTATTTCTTGTTAGTTTTTTTTTTTTCTTTATCTCCGTCAATTCTCCCTAACCTTCCCTAAACTATTCCTTTAGACACTAGTTTTCTATCGTTGAAACGAACGAATGAAGTTGTTGGGGGGTGTGTGTTCTTCTACTACGTCGATTGTTTCCGCGCACTGTCATTTCGTATATGTGCCAAACGATGAAACATTATTGATCGTTCAATCTTCGAGTTTTTACGTCGAGTGGAAACCGAATTCGTATAAAATCAAGACGAAACTTTCCCTCTCGATCATTTTTTACACAAATTGATCGATGATTTTATCACATCATTCAATAAATCTTCGATTCAATTAATTTCAATAATGTCATGTAATATTTGTTATCGATAGTTTCATCTTCTTTGAGATTGTTGATGAACAATACACGGATGTCATAAACTTGCCAGCTGATTTTTGAGTTTTGGACGACTATCATTGGCTGTTGTTCACTCGGTTGATGATCTTTTTCATCCAGGTGTGTAATAATGGATCCATGTTTCATCTATTTTCACATACTGCTGCAAGAAATCCTTTTTATCTCGCTTGAACAGCTCCAAATACAGCAAATTTGAATCGTTGAAGCGTTGTTGTTTTTTTGTACCGGTGTGAACAAACGCAACACGCACTTCAAAAGCAACTTACTCATGCTCAAATTGTCGTGTAAAATTGTAAACACTCTACTTTCTGATATCTTTAACACTCTATGGGCTTGTGTTACTTTCAGGTAACATGATCATTTTTCGGCATTTTACCAAATAATTTTAGTTTTTTTAATGATGGCGTATATATCTTAATTTTATAATGTTTCTGAGATAACTTATACCAATATTCATGATAGTTGTTAATACCATCAACCTGAAATAATAAAATAAATGTTGTGCAAGCTGTCTGCAGTAGAGGTAAGCAAAACCATTTTTTCAGTTGATATATATTTATCTGTCGGTATTTACCGAATAAAAAATTATGTATATTATAGTTGTGAGTTTAAATATTAATAACAACATATCTTTTTGCATTTCAAATATTATTTTGTTACTTTTTTTTTATGATACAGTTCTGTTACTTTGAAGTAACAATGGCCTATAAGGAAAATTTCTGTATATTTAGGATAAGGTGTGTTGTGTCCGTCAAATGTCGGAACAAGTTGAAGAATTTGTTGCAGTGAACAATTCCTGACTATATTTATCAGTTTTATTGCAGAAGAACTATAAAGATAGATTTTCATAGAAAAAATAGATGATTTTTACTAAGTTTACACCGATCGTGAATCCTTTGACAAAATTCATTCTGTAAGCCCCAAGAATCAATATAATTTATCGACATTTAAAACGGACATTGCATTTTGTTTATGTCAGGAGCACAAAGGAATCCGTAAGAAAAAAGAGTGTCTTGTTTCTACCAATGTCGATAAACAATTAGATAAAAATAAAAAAAGGAGACCAAATACAGTACTTCCAGTACAAAACGTGCGGAAAGATGAAGTTGCACATTGGCCAATTTTTTTCGGACAACAGAAGACGCTGCAAAAATCCTGGGTGTAAAGGAATTCCGAAAATAAAATGTTCAAAATGCAATGTACATTTACGTTTAACGCCAGGTGAAAAATACTTCATAGAATTTCACGTTTCAATTTTTCTACGCAGAAGTGGAAACATTGTGGGCCATTGTTACCTGAAAGTTACACACAGTGAATTTATTGTAATAAAATCGTTTAAACCGGAAAATTTTTTTTTCATCTGCACATATATGTTTATAATTGTTGAGATTTTCAGTTGCAATTATTGTTTTTTTATTTATAAAAAAAATTCGGCTTATAGAGGGTTAAGGTGTCATTTCGCACAAAGTTCAAAACTATTTGTTGGTCTATTTTTGTTTTAATATCTATCGTGTACAAATTAAATTCAATTGTTTATTATATCGTCAAAGAAAATTAAACAAATTAATCATCATTTATATTTTAAAATAGAATTTTTACGTTCAATAGAAATGTTCATTTGAAATATTATTTTCATTTAAAAAAAAAAAAAACAAGAGAGTCTTAGTTATTTGTTTTTCTATTGTTAATCGGATATAAGACAACGTCGAAATGGCTAAATGAGAGCAACCCTAACACCTCGAAATTGTTCTAACAGGGAGAAGGCATTCCGCGTAACTAAGGTAACTCAATTTACTCGGTAATTCATTTAAAGCGCAGTGTCTATACCAGACAGCTGTTACTACTGTCGTCTGACTAGAAAGGACTGTTACTACTACAGATATACTTATGGAATGTCTTTTAAATGGCGTTTCAAATCATTCCATTTTCATCAAAAATTGATGTCTCGTTAAAGGTTTTATAACCTTTCGAACAAATTTATTTAGAAAATAATTTCTACATTTATCCTTCTAAATAATTTTTATTATTTTCTATGACACTAGTTTGAAAATATTTTCTATGGTTTTAAGTTTCATTTTATATTCTATAGAGGTATATTAAATATTTTCAAGCGAACAATTGTATATATATATGGTGTTCCATTTAAATCGATCCATTTAAGTTGGAACTGTTGATAATAGAAGAAAATGTATTAGACAAAAGTTCAATGGTTCAAGGGGATACGTTATCTGATATTACTAGTTTTTATGTTGGTGTGAACGCGTAAAAGTTACACGAAGGTCAACTTCGATTTTTTTTAAAGTGAAATTATAGATTTTTTAATATAATAATAATATAATAAAATAATAATATATAATAATATATAAAATAATAAAATAATAATAATAAAATAATAATATATAAAAAATATAAAATTTAAATAATAATAATAAGTTTTGCATGTAACATTTTTCTATGGTTTAACAAATAAACGGAAATATTTAAGTGTTAACAATTACTGGATCACCCTGTATACCAAAAGGGTTAATATCAAAATAACGTGTTAATTATACATAATATAACCATTATACAATCGTCAAATTTATTTTTAACGAGTTGTTTTTTTTCCTTCTCTTTTTTTTCCTTTTATCTTATTTGTCTCACCTGAAACATTCGGTCGACCTTTTCTCTAACGCCCTCGTGGTCCAACGTCGGGTCAGCAAATTTTCCCATGAGCTCGTAGACTGCAGTTACTATGTCCGTCATTTCTTCTCTCGTAATACAGCCGTCCCCGTTGATGTCGTAAAGGGAAAACGTCCATCGTAATTTTTCGTCTATCGAGCCACGTGACAGTATGCTCAGACCGATGACAAAGTCCTGCGATTATAAAAATGAATTTGACCTTTCTTTTTATATTTTTTTTATGGGGTGGGTGGGGTAAAAAGAAAAGAAAACCAAAATGGTACCAGTTCATACGATCGTTAACTGTTTCTCTCATTTATTAATTATTATTAGGGTGAACTATTATTAGGGTTCTTGAGTAAATATAATTAACCCTTTTCGTGGAAATAACCCTAACCCCTTTTGGCATTTTTATAACTCATCCGAAATAAATTGGTCTTATCAAGGTTAAGAAGTATTCGGTGCAATTAATTTCTTCAGCTTTGTTCGAATTTTGATGGAACAGATGGGAAATATATTTCGAATTATTTTCTTTCTCTTTTTATTTGTCTGTATGTCTTTCTGTCTGTCTGTTCGAGTCATGGTAATCGAACGAAGCAAAGTGGTATTGCTACTTGGGTAAAAAAAAGGGCCAAGTAAAAGGGGAAGATCAATGTTAGCGAAACGAGATCGCTTTTCTACGAATTAAATGAAAATGATATATATGTGAAAGTATCGATATAGTTATTTAGGACGATGGGAAAATGGTATTTCATGATTGAGTCGCTAACAAATATTCATTAGTGAGCATCCTATTTCAAACTTTATGACTGGCAATTAGAGTTTCTCAGATAATGAAATATAATAGAATATATATATATATATATATATATATATATATATATATATATATACGTATAG